GGATGGACATCGCCATCTACGCGCAGCCACAAAAGAGATAGGTCCCTACCTTCAAGAAGGCTGAGGCGACGAGCACAGACATCCTCTCTGACGTACACGCATACCCCAGCCCGGGGCAAAAAGGAGTGTTCCAGTCTGTATCCGGGGCAGGATAAATACGATGTGTCCGCCGGAGAGGATATCTGTGTCTCAGTAAGAAAAAGCAAGGCCGGCTTGGCCGTCCGGAGATGGTAATGAACGGCCTCCAAGTTGGAATGTAGTCCCCTGATATTGCAGAGGTCCACTGCGTGGGTGGCAGGGGGTGAAAGTACCTGGCCTCGTTTGCCCCGGCCTCTACAGCGAGCGAGCGGAATGTTGCCCCCCCCAGAATACGCAGGGCGGCCCGCGCGCTTACCCCCAGACTCCAAACGAGAGTTCAGGCGTAAGCGCGCGGAGGGGGATTCTCCAAAACCAGGGGTTTTGGTACCCCCCTGGGGTACTTTCTCTTTTAATCCCACTGCCATGCTGTATTAAAGGGGGGGGGGGAGGTTGGGCCTCCGGGACCACACTCATCAGACGAAACGCGGAATTTCTTCCACTTCACGCCTGTTTTCTGTGTGGTGGTGGTATTTCACCGGGCGAACCTGGCCAATTCGTGCGAAGATGTTAAAGCGGGTTCTACCACTCTTAAAACCATTTTGAAACTAGCAAAATACTTTTTGGTATAAAGTAGGATTTTTGCGTTGGGTAACACATCTTACTAATATTATAAAGACGAATGTTTCATCAGCCTTTATCTGCCCATTGCGGGACATAAGCCTTTCCTATTGACTTTCACAGTATGGATGGCTCCAATTAAGCAATTAACCTATATATTGTAATCAATCTTACTAATATTATTAAATGCGAGTGTTTCGATGGATGGATGGATGGATGGATGGATGTTTGAAGATATATCCGGAACGATTAAAAGGATCTCGCTGAAATTTGCCATAGATGTAGAGCAAAGTCTGTAAGAGCACATACGCTACTTGTTAAGTTTTTTTTTAATCCTGCTCGAATTAAGTCGAGGGCAACAGCTAGTAAAGGTATAAATAGATATCAATGTCTTCTGTGTAATAAATATTCTATAAATTTGGTTTCTATTGGGTCGTAAGGGGGCAGTTAATTGATACATTTAGCCCTCACTTGTCACTGCCACTTTCTCAAGTTACGAGCCTGTCGTGTTTAATGCACATTTATTATTAACAATGAATTACTCGCCGACTGAATTTTATTTTCGTACCAGAACACTTCTCAGACTGTTAACTTATTCATGTGTTCCCTAATTGTATATCAAATTGATAGCGATGTAACCAATAAATAGACTAAAAATGCTGGCTAACACTGCAAAGACTGTCTAAAGTTTTATAAAAGTCTTTACGAACATAAGTCGTAACTTAATGATATGGCGCTTTCATTTGCCCAATGAGCTATTTAATTAAAAAAAAGCTGTTACGTCCCGCATTAATGCTCTTTAAATAGTATTAAAATAAATAATAATAAATACAACATTTATTAAGCCACACGAATATAGACTCTAAGTAAATATAATTAAGGTTTTAATAGTATAATTTCTATTATACTTACCTTCTTGTACATGAAAGCTTTCGAGTTAAATTCTTCCATTAGATTTTTTTTGCGAATGTTGGTTTTCCCCAGGTCATAGTTAATGTTCTTTGTTTATTATAATTAGATACGTTTTTACGATAGCATTTTAAAATTAACGTTAAACTAAATGAACCTAAACGTCGATAAATACATTAATTCTCCGTTATTACTTTTTTAAAGCTTCATTATGAATTCAGACGAAAGATTATATCACTCGTATTAAAGCCACCATTTTCAACGAGATATTGTATTTTATATCATTTTATTATTGTTTAGTATTTATATGGTTTACCAATTGGGGTATAATAAAATATTTAGGTTATTATATGAAAATAAACGTTCACAATTCGCTGATTTACAAAAACGTCTTTCAACCCAACGTGTCTGTGCGAGTTGACAGAATGCTGACGTAAATCTGACGCAACTATAGCCAGTTGTATCTTTTATAAAACCCTTAAAAGTTGTTCTTTTCCCGACTGGTAAAAAAGTAAAGTATTCCGCGTGAATATTAGTATTTTATGTGCCAATTTATTAGTATGTCAATTCAAATGTGTTCTGAACTCTTAACTGATTTTAACGAGTATCATATCTTTCGATTCTTCCTTGAAATGTCACAACGTAGAGTCAGTGACACTGATTTTTAATACACAACTACTTACAGTAATATAATTAAAGTACCACTTAATCTGATTTTGCAAAACAAACATCGGGAAATCCCAAATACGTCTCGCCACGTACAAAATCAATAATGGCGCATAACGCGTATTTTCGTCTTGCATTGACGGCGAAATTTAAATTAGACATCAGACCCTCCTAATATTGTAGGGGAGGCGTCTCGACGCATTTCCCTGTATGAGGCGACACTCCTCTTTGATACAGGCCTTTTGATGTCTCCTTAGACCGTACAATACTACTTCCACCTCCGCCCCTCGAATAACTTTCTTTGACTCCCAAAATAGGCTTTTTAACTGCATTTTCAATGTACCATTTAAGCGAGATTACCACTTTAGTAATGATAAAGATGACTGGCTGTCGGGAGTGTTGTAAAACGTATAATATTTAAAAATAAATTGCTATTTTAAGCAGATAGACTAAATCGAGGCGTCTAAAATTAGTGTACTTATTTGTTCGTGGTCGAAAAATAATATAGCAAAACTATTTATTGATAAATGTTAGGAATATTCATTAAAACAATTTAAAATTTAAATTACCTGTCATTTTGTAAGTGTATCTCTTGAAAAAAAAAACATCTCAGACATATGAAGTATCAGTTCTTTAGAGCGTAGTAAATGCGACACGGGGTTGTGTCGTCGTACCGTCTGTGAATAGGTACAGTACCAACCAAACTTTACCGCAGCTCAGAACCAGACGTTACGCAAAACACAATTGTATGTAAAGGGATATGAAATCGGCACACCCTTGCGCCCGCTTTCCTTTTCCCGCATTGGTATTTTGCGACTTTACGTGAAGAGATGCGCTTGTAACTAACTACGAGCATTTGATAAGATTGAATCTTATAATACATACTACATATCAGGTACACGTTTATATCTGCCTCATTACGATTCAACTGCGCCGTGAGCGAGGACGCGTGTGTTGACGACAAATCGTTTCAGCAATATGTTAATTTTCATATCGACGTTAAGCTTATTGACGGTTTATTAAATTTAACGTATAAGTTTCTCTTTTCTCTATAAATTCCGGTGTGTACTTTGACTTTATTAAATAGGATCTCTTCTAAACACACTGTTCTACACTTTTATATATTATAATATACTAAACCGTAGATACCAAAGCTTCTAAAATAACCGGAGAATTAAATTCAACACAAAAACCAAATTCGTAAGTTAACCTGCATTTGAAACAACATCGTCAAATATAAAATAATAAATACATAAGAAGATTGGAAGATAGTGGGGAAAATCCAACACAAAATACTTCTTAATAATCCATATTACATTATTAATGGAATGAATAAATTAAATACAATCGTTTTAATCGAATCAGAGATAACGTTTGTGTTTGAAACAAAGCTTGTCTGCTTTCGTAAACAATGTACTGTATTGTTCGTTAGAGTTTCCATTTTCATTTGCTAATTACTCGTACGTCTGTTAAATACATTAATCCCTGGTTAGATTTGTATATCTAATTCCTCGTGGTCAAGCCCTAGTTTATTTACTGCAAATATGTTTCCATTTGCGAAAACTACACATGTAATCATATTTTTCTTGTTAAATAAATCAAACTTAATACTAATATTAGACATGCGAATATTTAGATGAATGGATGGACGTTTGTTTGAAGGTATCTCCGCAACGGCTTCACGAACCTTAATGAAATTTGGCTCAGATGTAAACATCTGAAAGAACACATAAGCTCATTATCTTCTTTTTAATTCCGAGCTAACGTGGTCGTTAGAGCTAGCTAGCTATTTAAATAAAGAATAAAAATAATTTGTTTATTAAATGATGTCCGTCAAGAAAGAGAAAATATCCTCTTTCTGCAGATCCTTCGTAGATTAAAGGTAAACCCAATGAAATTCTAACAATTGTTAGTCGTAGTTACAAACGTAACAAACAGTCTTATCCAAGAGATGACGTACACAGATTTACACATCACATTTGAATTATACAGGCAAAGGTGGCTGTCAAATTTGACCTGGAGACTATATTCCTACATTTTTAATCGTATCTCGAGACCACACAACGTTACATGCCTTTGAATAATTACTTGTACCGTGCAACTCACTCCCATACTTACATATAATTAAGATAAGGCTTTAGTAAAAATAAATCTTGATTAATATATGTAATAGAGCATTTTGAGATATTTAAAGTTATACAGTCGCCATGCATTTTGTATAAGTTTTATTGATCATTTACAACTATTATTTTAAATCCACCACTGCGTGGAACTAGAACGCTTATTCTTTCCTAAAAGACTGCTAACGCGCAATGAACTGATACAGAACTTGTGGATATTCATGGGCGGCGGTAAACAGACTGCCTTGTGCACTTGATTTTACTTATTTTAATTTAAATGTCTGTAAATTAAATTGTATTTATTATTTTGTTTCAGATTAGATTGGCAAAGCTTTCTAAAGCTTGTTTGCTACATCACACCAGATGGTAAGTAACTAGTAAGATGGTCTTTTATTTTCTCCTGGATGTCAACTTCAGATGCGATTGGTTCATAAGTTATTTAAGTTGCCTTTATATTTTTTTAGTACGTTATTTCGTTAATTTAGTTTGACAACTAAGTTTCAATTTTTAAACTTAACAATTTCAATTTTGTATTCGCATAAACATTGAGTTGAATTGTTATTAAAATGAAGTTGTGTCTTTCCACAAGGGGTAGAGTTTGAGATATTTATTTGCGGGCTGTTGAGAGGCAGCGAGCCAGCAAATCTGATTGCGGCGGCGGTGCAGGCGACGGCCGAACGCCGATAAGGAGCTCAGGCCTCAAGCCTCCGACCGCCTCTTCCTAAACATGGCTCATTATTAAAATTCACCAACATTTCACATCGTGCATTTCCAAGTCGAAAAGCTTTTATGAGCTTTTAACTTCTCTCAGGGGAATTATATTCCGATCGTAACTGTACTCGCCAGCTTGTTCGACTTCAAAGCTACTTTGAAAGAGCTTTAGTTCGAGTATGATATTCTATTATCATAAAGAAATTCAACTTTCGCATTAAAAATCATTTTGCAGTGATCGATGTCGAGAGCGTCGATGTCTCAGGGGTAACACTTGACTTGTAATCTGCAGGTCCTGAGTTCGAATCCAATGCACCTTTGTATTTTTCGATTTACATATGTACATTTATCCGAAGTCCTTACGGTAAAGGAAAACATCGTGATACAACCTGTACATATCTGTGAAGAAATTCAAAGATATGCATCAAGTCAATCAACCCGTGGTTGACTATGTTCCAGCCACCTCTAACTTAGGGTAGGCTAAGCAGGCGAGCTGCTCAGTGGTGACGTTTAGTGAGCTGATGATAATGATCAATGTCAGATGTTGTTATAGATGTTAACATTTCGAGATTTATCGTACTTAACACGAGGCAATTGTGAACACTTTATAAAAAAGTACATAAACTTTTATATTCGAAGTAATGTGAAAAAATACAAAACACAATCTGATGGTAAAGTGTCTGCTTCAAATTAAATTAGTTTGAAACAGATTAGTTGGCGTTTTATTGAAATTTCTTACGAGACACTTAGATCCTCCGACCAGACAGAGATAGCAGTTGTCCCGCAGGATTTTAAAAGCTAGGGACAATCTCGAGAGCTTACGAGTTGACAGCGCGCTTATAATTTATATTTTTAGTTCGTCAAATACAAAGGTAATGTTTCTTAAATTAATATCAGTTATTATTGTAGTTATACGTAATTCATTAAGTTATTTTAAAATTTGGTTTTTTGTTTGGATTGAGAAAAAGCTTTTTTTTCCTATGCTACCACCCACCACCACCCCATATAAACCACCTCGGAAAATCATACACCTAAGGGATTAATGTTTCCTTTTAGGCAATTATACATTTGCAAAGATCTAAAGGTTTCTAATCCACCTGCATCACTTGTTGCTCTCTTTTCTTGCTCCAAAGTTCAATCCTTCTGTATCCAATAATGTTATTAAATTACTTCAGTGCTTCGTTCACAATATTATTTATATTTAAGAAACGCCCTCTTAAATAAATGAAAAAGGTAACAATTAAAGCCTTATTCACACTCGTGTAAATTACGAGCACAAGATTATTTTAAATTCTTAACGTACGGAGCTGAGTGTGATTAGTTAACTGGGAGCAAAACATAGCGCATTAACCCCATTGTGATTAAACGAGCGGCGAGCTCGGGTTAGAGACGTCCCGTACAACGTGCACTAACAGTGAGTTTCCACTGCCGAAACATTCACACAAAGATATACTCTCGTCTCTCTTATCGTAACTGAAAAGGCTGAGACGACAATATATCGTAGTGTAAATGCTTTCGCAGTGAAAACCAAAGGTTATACCAACGCGAACATTATTCCTTACATTAAACAGGCTTTTTCATGACTGGGAAAGTGGCTCACCATATAAATGTTGACACCACCATTAACAGCAACAACGAAACAACTTGAAATGTCTATTTATAATTAGGCAATCCGACTTAAACAAATGCAAATGTCCATAATATAAAATAATTAAAAAACTTTATTTATGTTTCCGTTACGATAACTGGGTTCATGTTTGCAAAGACAAAACCTTCAGTTTCCCCAAAGAGGTTGCTGATTACTCCATGGTGGATAATCGGTCTAGGTCAGATCTTGTTAAGGCGCTATGAAATCTATCTTGTAGATCCTTGCTCTATCACAACTTATGCGAGCCGAGACACTCCGTGGTGATCTTCAATTTCTTTGTTTTTACTACTCTAAAATTGGTTTATTATTTAACAGTAACATATATCATTTGTTTTTCTTTTTTCTATTTACCATTTTTATACTGAGTTTTTTTATCATGAATAAAAATCGTTTAAAATCCGATATGACGTGAGTGTTAACATAACAATTTTATAATTAAATACGTGCACGATGTCGACGTAACGCTTCACACGTCCGCGATATCATATTCATTGAGTTTTCGAATATTATCAACAGATAATTAAATAATTGCAATATCACATTTATTAACTACATTACGCTTATTTTATTATCTGATACAGTTTGCATAAAAACTTATCATTTAAAATGTTCCATACGGTACAACTTTGTCTCGACCAAGTACAAATTGAATCGTCACTAAATTCAAAAACCTTGAAATTGTAACTCTTCTTAAAACATTATTCATAGAATATTAAACCTTGAAAATAGTAACATAGAATTATTATTTAATTAACTAAACTACAACGTAGTGTTATTTATTAACAGTATTTTATTATTTAAATTTTCAATGAATGTATCTCTTTTATTCTTCTGTATTATGATGCATTCGATACATCCCCCACAATAACAGAGGTGTCCGCGCGCACTAGAGTGCGGAGCACGACCTGTTTCCTACATTGCAGTTTGCATTTTTATTCTCCATCGGGTCAACTAATACCAACTAAACTTGTTAACACATGACCGACTCTAATGGCTCTCTCCATTGTCGGCTATCGGCTAACTGGGACACACGATGTAGAACGCTGAGAGGATTACTTGCTATAACTATGTCACATTTGCTGCAATTCCCTCATCCTTATTTAGGATGTTACACTAATGAACGTCAATATTACCACTATATTCAATTACATATCCAATTGTAATAATGGGTCAGAAGGATCACATTTCTAAATATTCCAGTACTTATTTTACTTCTTTACGCAACACTAGCCTTACTAAAATATCGACGTTTATGTCCCCTCACTATTCATTCTGACACTGGAATTTGTGACAAAACCACGTCATTCGCGACAAAGGATACTAACTAATAGTGTCTAAAACTAATTGTCAGCGACTTCGTTCGTTCGAATTTAAAGAAAAAACTTATTGAGTGGCGTATGTGCTCCTTCAGACTACGTTCTAAATCCATGTCAAATTTAAGCGAAATCCATTCCAGCCGTTCTGGAGAGACCTTCTAACCAACATCCATCTTTTCATCCACTTCTAGCTACTTATATTATTTGTGTATTATGAGAATAGAAATCCATTTCAACGGCTGCGACCGAACTAATCTTTTGTTTATGTTATTCTTAAAAACCGGTTATTTCATTTTTAGGTTAACACAAGTTGGCTCTTTGATGTGCTTTCTTTATTTTTTTAAGTCGACAACCAAGCGAGTGAAAACTGTTGGACTCTTGTTTGCGTATGGATACATTAAAGAGTTTGATGAAAACGAAGCTTGGGTAGAAAATAGTTTTACATACGCCCTAGAAATTGAAACCGATGGTTTTTCTCTTTATGCGATGCGCGCTTAGTCAACACAATGGATTAATTTTATGGCGATATTATTAAGGTGTCATGGCAGCTACGCCAGAAGATCTTTTGTGATATCATTTGATAAAATACTTACTTTATGCAAAAATAAATTAACCAAACAAGATAATCATCTTTGTTGTAAATCAATTACTATTTTTGACTTAATAGTAGCCTTAAAGTAAGTAAAACATTTTGTGAATAGTATTAATTAATCTTTATTGATATAAGATGAAATAGTTGTAAAAGTAATGCCGAATAGTAATCTTTTGGAGATTGTAGACGGTAGCTCCATGACTAGTTAACTAATCATAATGGTAGTTATACAAAAGTTAAGACGGATTGTTGTTTTTGTGACTATTCATAATAAGTATGCGAAGTTGTCTGCGTTGCTTCATCAAGTAACGACATCATTCTTATTTTTGTCGCTATCTTTTTATGTTCTGGTACTTTTTTAAGTGTGGACACAAGTGACAATAGAAACATCTTATCCTCATCTTGTTCTACAAAGTCATAACTCTCCCGTTGTTCTAATGGTTTATATAAAAACTCTTGAAGTGGATCATTTCCAGGCTCAGAATTAATTCCTTTGTTCTCATCTTTTTGTCTAGATTGATCAGAATCCAAATCGTTTTGAGAATTATCTTCTTCAAATTCAGATGTATGTGTGGATTGTCTTGTGACCATTACTTTTTTTAAAAACTTCAGTTGTTTAAAATATATGTATTCGCTTTTACGGGGTCCAACGCCATTTCCTGACCTTAACGCCTTTTGTCTTGCAATTTCCCTCATAAAGCAACCACGAATACTTTTCCACTTTTTTTGTAATACATCTCCTGAAAAAAAAACGTGCATAAACAATATTTATGGTCAAACACTATTATCACACTTTTGCAAAGGTATTTATAAAGGCGACATTTTATGGATAAGACATTGTGCATAGATACAGTAGGAAAATATAAAACTTACCCATATATTTCTTTTCCTGTTTAGTCATGCCGTCTTTTTCTTTAAATATTTGTACAACTTCTTCCCAGCTTTTTTTCTTCAAATGGCGGTTTGAATATTCATCTGATGATGTATCCCAGATAGCAGGCCTATTTTCAATTTCGGATATAAATCTTTCGGTGTCGAAGGTCATTTTAAATTTTAGTACAAGAATAAAATGCAGACAGGACGGGCGACTGGCATCGCTGCTGGCGGCCGAATGGGCGAATGAGATAGCTATGCTTTAGTACGCGTGAAGTTACTTGGAAGTGCCGCCACACCGCCAGAAGTGTGGCGGCGCTGCCAACACAAGGACAGCGGGCCGTTCGGACTGGCAACGCCGCACAGCGCCTTACTGGCGTCGACGCCAAGCTGCGCCACGTGAGATAGAGTTTGGTTCGTTGTAAAACAATCATGAGTTGTTATTGGCAATGCCATCTAAATTACTTTTAACCTGTTTCAACGCAAATTGGATCTAATTGGTATTTAGTGTTATACCTTTTAATGCGCCAAAAACACGCGATTTTTGAGAAAGTAGCGGGTAAACTTTGTGAAACAAAAAAAGTTTAACATAAAAGTAAATAAACGCGAATTAGATAGTAGCGTCCTCATTCATGAGGTCGCTTGCTTGCTGACGGTCGTCGTTCACTAATACTTCCGCTACTTAGGTTTCTGTAGCCATTACGTGCGGCGTAATTTAGTTATGCGAACATACGTAATAAAATTGTTCGTTCGTTCACCCGTACGTTGCTGCCGCAATTTTATCACGTATTGCGAATAATGCATATTATGTATGAAGCTCTGTTTTTACATCATATATATTTTTGCGGCGTATTAAAAAAACTTAATTAGTAACATATGTGTTCTTCCAGACTATGTTCTACATCTGTGCCAAGTTTCAGCGATTTCTGTTGAGCAGTTGAACATCCATCCATCCATTCATCTAAAGTGTGTGTGTATATTAATATTGAGTAAAAATAACATAAATAAAAAATTATCAATACAAAACAGATGACTCTGATTTAAATAGGTATTTCGAGATTTAAGACAATGGCCAGAAATATCTTTGTCCTTTTCCCGCTGTAAATCATTGCTTTGGTTTCCATTTTCAATCATAACTTAACATTAATTCCCAATTTAAAGCAGTGAAATTGTCATTCCCTTTGTGCCAGTCGGTGACGGCGACGTAATAATTTGCGCGTCTTTAATATTTTATTACTGTTACTACTTCGCTTCACTTTCTATTTTCTTTGTACAAGTTCTTTTAGGTTGACGTGACAATTGTGACCGTAGTGTGTCCTATATTTTTACATCGACCTGGCATATCTTTTCTTTATTTACTCTTTTTGTTGTGTTGTTGTATTTTATAATATACAAAACGATAAAATATAACGAAAACTTTATGAAAAAGACAAGTGAAAAGATAAATTCACGTAAATTTCTTTTTGGGAGAGATTTATAGGCTCGAAACATCGGAATTTCGTAACATTCGTCACGCCATGATTCGTAAGTTATAAAGCTTTTATTGCAGCCACAGGTGTTCTTGGTGGGCGGAATGATCGTAAAATTTGATACTTCTATCTGAGCTCTGGACTAATATAAAGTAATCTAGAAGACCAGGATTCAATCTCCACGTACTTATATGAATTTCATAAGTACATTTATCCGACGTTCTTACGGCGAAGAAGTCATCCTAAAGAAACGCATACAAACCAATTTGCAAAGATATTCAAACATATCATCATCTTCAGCTCACTGTACGTCCCCACCGAGGGGCTTGGAGCCTACTCTAAGCTAGGGGTGATTAGGCCATACTCAACCACGCTACCCCAGCGCGGGTTGGTTGACTTCACACATACCTTTGAATTTCTTCTCAGATATGCGCAGCTTGCATCACGATGTATTCCTTCACCGTAAGAACGTCGGATAAATGTACATATGTAAATCGAAAAACAAATTGGTACATGGCGGGCTTCGAACCCAGGACCTGCAAATTGCAAGTCAAGTGCTTAACCCCTAAGCCATCGACGCTCCTTTTCAAAATATGCGTGAAGTGAATTTATTCGCACTGGGTCAGGTTAGTAGGTCTAATCAACCGTAATTAAGGGAGGGCTCTAGCCTCGGTATGGACATGAGCTGACGAAAGGTTATGAAAACTCCTTGCACAAAGTTGCCAATGACTTTGTGGATGCCTGGCTGTGTGTATTGACACGTTTAGTTGCGGCTTCTAAAGATTGCTCCGTGAAGCGATATTAAACGGGTCACACTGTCCATCGAGATTCGTGTTAGCAGGGCATAAGCTGCGATCGAACGCAACACTTGGCCCCAATATAGACAAAATAAAATGTATACATAAGTAAAGTGTGATAAAAAGTTCTTGGCTATAATTTTTTCGTTAAATGCGGATGCCCAAAGGATGCTGAGTCTTCTTCGTATTCTTCTGCTTCTGATTACTAAAGGTCGTGCTTGTCTTGATATGCTTTAACGGCTGTGTCGACCAGCTCCCTCCACGCCGTCCTGTCTTCGGCTTGTCTCAGGGCAGTCGTGATGTTGTGTCCCAATATAGCCTGCACTTGATCGGACCAGCGGGTAGCTGCTCGATCTTTCCGACCACAACCAATTTGTATAGGTTGTCGGGGTGTCTCCAGCAATATGTCCAAAGTATCCAAGGACTCTTCGGTACCATGTAGTGACTAGCCTGGTGGATATTTTTAGTTGGTCTAGTCAGGATGCTGATTAGTGACGTATTAACTAACTAGTACTTAATAAAATCTAATGGTAGCAGTGTTCAAAAGTATTATTCATATATATCATTTATATAGAAATCTGGTCAATTTTATGTAATTCATTGAAGTGTAAAAGAAATAATAACTGACTTATCAATATTTATCACTCAATAAATAAGATGGAAGTGACAGAGTTACAACCAATATGGGCCAAATATTACAAAAATACTGTTGCGCAGTAAAACGAAAGTAATAAACTCTGTAATGAATATTTTCATGTTATTTTATCGCGGCATAATAAAACAAAATGTATTCATTCGGTTGAAAGATGAGTGAAATTTTAAAACTTTCCACATCGCTGATTTTTTCGCAAACTTTCAGAATTGTTTTAAAAATTAATTTTTAAATGTCGTATGTACAAAAAATTCGCAAGTGGTAAACTTTATGCTGTCGCATTTTTTTTAATGGAACAAAAAACAATGTTATTATTTCATTTACGACAATTGAGCCATGAATTTGTTTCAGGTATTTGGAATGAGCCAAATTATAAACCAACTGTACCGACCACCGGATCTCACGTCCAGGTAAGCTGATTCAATTAAAAATCGAATTAAAAGCAATCAATAAAAACTGCTTCACCAGAATTATTTCATCACTAGACTAGCTGTCGCTCATGACTCCGTCTCACAGAATTAAAAATAAACTTAATTTATAACCTATACGTTCTTCGAGACTATATTCCACATCTATACTGTATTTCCGATCACTTTAAAAAAAATCCATCCAAACATTCACATTTATAATATTAGTAAGATTAGAAGGGAAGGAGTATAAATCGAATAGATTAGAAATATTTTACAATTCACCGATACAAACTTTTGCCAACTAAAGTAACTATGTATTACATTTGTGTCATAGATTTAAAACCTAATTCGGAGCATAAAACAAAAATCAAGCAAAAAAGACCCCTAAGAGGCCTTTTGAAGGATTTTTCCTCAGTTTTGTCATTTAAAATACTAAAGATATTTCGAAAATAGGCTCACGATTAGACGTCAAGCTTATACAAAACGTTCTATCTGTACGTTATGTGTCTATGGTTATTAGTTAATCCGTGCGTAGCATGAATTTATTTGACCGCCCGATAAATAACTTTATATTATCAAAGTTATACCATTGACTTTTATTAATCCAATGCACCACATGTTGTGGGCCAATGATGTTTAACGCACAAAATAACGCAAACTTTCTATTTTATTACGCATGCCAAGTTGGGAGGCATTTTATGGCGTTGCCATGGCGACGTAGGCAGTACGCACCGAAGCCTCCCCACTTTCATGGGATTTAGCGATATCACCCCGCGTAAGTACGTGCGCGTACTTTACGACTTTTCTCTTGATGTAGATTTTTTTACTGAATCACTGTAAGAACGATGATAATTTGGCGTGCCCTCGATATTACATATTTTAAGACGTTAATTTTGTTATATATGTCTTGCCAATGTTCGCTACTCTTTTATAACTTAACGTTGAATTGTGTAGGTTAACTTTTTTCTCAACTCGATCTAGAAGTTTGTGTCAAATGCTGGCAGTATTGTTATTTTTGGAACAGGTTTATCCTTTCTAACTTAATATATTTTGAAGAAATGATCTCCAACCTTCGTTGGTCGGAGACGCACCTGAAGTATAATAGAAGAATAAGAAGAACTTACATAATGCTTAGCAATCTTATACTTACTATGTGTAGTAAACAATTAAGTCATAAAAATAAATTGTTTTCTCACTCAAAGAAGCCCTAACCAACACTCACAATAAAAGTTCTAATAATAATCACAACAAACTTTTAATGTCAACATAAATGTTAAGCGACAAAAGTAACGACACATTTTATTTGCTCTATAAATCCTAAATCAATTAAATTGCTTCGTGACATATGTTTGTAAGTGTTGCCAGGATAATGTCTGAATCGCGTGTCTTTGACACCAAGAGTCGACGCTCCACTTTGACTTTGAAATGACAGGACCTATCAAGCGTACGCAGTCAAATAAAAACGAACAAGAAATCCTAAGCTTGCGTGCTCTTGTGTTCATTTTATCCAAGTATATAATTTTTTTCAGTATGCATTCATACAGACGTAAGTGCTAACATGAAATGCGTAATAAGATTGTTGTCTGTAACTCAAAACCCTTGATAAGTTGTAGAATTTTCTAGTACATCGTTGTCTTATTGCTTAGTCCGTTACTCCATAGTCATAGAGTTTCCATTACAGGCTGCGCTAAATTTTCGCGATTAATAAAGCTTGTAATCCAGTTAAGCTGGCTCGTTATGTTAATTATAAGTATGTACACCACATCATTGTTATTATGTTTGTTTATGCTAATGCTACAACTCCCACTTACAATACAATTATTGACTAACTTTGTATATTGTTGATACAATTAGTCGCACGTGGCTGGTACTTCGCACATATCTGTTGCTCAAATCACGTTAACTGATAGCTATTTGGGGTAATTACTGCAATTAGTTCGGTTACATTTTTGGCAGTTCCTTCTTCCTTAAGCAAAGTAATTGCGGTGCTGTTAATAAGACTCTTTGCTCCACTTGCAGCATGGTTCTTTAGAGATATGTCCTATAGCTAGATATTTATAATTTCATTTGTATTCTTCTCGGAATGACAAATGAGTACTGATGTTATATTGGGTGCGTGCATTCATTATGGCCATCCATGCAGTACATGGACCTGTACTTTATCGTTGGACTACCTAATACACTTAACATATTTTAATACCTATTGTTTGCCAAAATCATATTCAGCGCAGTATTATTATAGGTACTCCTATCATTTGATATCTGATACGTCTACTGTCTGTTTAATGATTTAAAAAAAAACTTCGTTGTCTATGCCTCCCTCCAATAACGAACATGTTTCCGTACACAATTCCGTACACACCAACGTCGGGCCCGACTGACGCCGATCGGCAGAATTCATAATAAATTGTAAAAGTTAAATATTCATGTCTGCACTGCCAGACGAAGTTACCCATACCGATGTATATTTATTGTTTTTCTTTGGCAACCACCAACAAAATGAATCGTTTTAAAAACGTCTCTCATAAATTAGCGACGCATTTAAAGCGATGGCGGCGTGTCGTTGTTTAACTAGGAGCTGCAAAGCGTTGCGACGCTCAAATATTTTCCACGGCCAATTTATCAAGCTCTCTTCCTCTCTCGCTTAATTGATTGCTGATTAAACTGTTAAATAAATGCTTCTACATCTTTCTTACGAACTTCCAGATAGACGTCAGCGCTAATTGATGTATGGCCTTGGAAGGTTTTTGTTCGCGCCCTTTTTTTATTTTATTTCAGTCAACTTTTTATAAGATTGACATTAAATGAAATAAGAAAACCATAGGCTTAAACAACAAAGGAAACACAAATTATCCGCCCCTTATTACTCATTCAAGCTTCCTATGTCGTTTTAATCAAAAATATTCAACGTGAAATATAGTAGAAATCTTACAATAAAAAGAAATCGCTTTATTCCTAAAGATATAAAGGACCGGTATACCGAATTGAATTTAGGGGGACACAATGGAATAATTAGTAGGAGAGAATGCATTATTAATGTTGAGAAAAATTAGGTTGAAATTGGGGTCGGTATAATTTGGTGTATCTTCTCTCTAATATTGAATAAAGTAGGTTCATAAGCCGTATTTAGTGAGCGTAAAGATGCGGAAAAACTCGTGAACGTCTCGACGTTAATGGATCGACTGTTTTTTTTGTTTCAGAGCGTGGGCGTGAGATGGCACGCGCGGGCATGTTGCACAGGGGAGGAAAAAATGGAGCCGAGTAAGTATTACACACCATTACTAATGTTGACGCCTCCTAAATAGATGAGTGTACTAAACTTGTTTCTAATTAAACCTTAGTATTGGGGACGATAAGCTTACGAGTATGTTTAAGTGTTAAAGAATTTAAGTGGTTTGAAACAACGATAAACACAGCGGAAGACAAACATGTGAACGATAAAATCTAAAGAATTGTACCCGAATTTAAAACATAGGTTAGTTAGTTTTATACACTTTTGCATATGAAAGGAAACAACAAAGAAGCACTTTAGTAATGCTTTTCTTTTACCACAAAAAAATGAATTTGCGGCAGCAAACGAGATACTATTGTTTGTAGCAAACGTGCTGTAGTTGGAAAAACTGTATGTTGTTTGTTTTAAAATGTAATTGCATTGCATCTGTTATGTTTTTTTACAAATATGTTTATTTAATTTTATTAACATTGAGATTAAATATAATATGTATTTTTACTATGTTATAAATCGAATGATCCGCCAAGAAATTAACCTTCTGTATACCTAAATTATATGAAATAATATATGATGACTTAACTAAATTGATAATTATTAAATGTCACTTTTAACAATTATGGTGATGAAAAATCTTACTTTTGTTATTTCTTTACATAAAAATAATAATATAACATTTATTACACATACATAACACATAAACTTACCGTAAACAAAACCGTACAACAGCTGACATTATAATGAATTTAGCTGCGTGAAAATGCCAAAGTACATCCCTAAAGACTTTCATACGCCTACATGACTACGCACTTAACATAATTGTTTTTGCTTGATAATACTAAAGCAAATATTATACAATACTTAAAAATCTTGACTTTATGCTGTAGAAATAACGGAACAAGAATATTGATTAGTAATAACAAAATTTTTGCGGCACAGAAAAATAAGGGAATATTTCCTTTTCGCATATAGAAAATGATGTTATTAAAATTATTAAAGTACTGTCAGGTCAGGATTTTTAAATTATTAGTTAGGTAACACCAGTGTTTGAACATCGTTGCTGATATTTATTTGTTTACACAAAAATATACAGATTTATTGCAATTATGACAAAACATAATTCTTCAAAAAGTTACCGATACGTAGAGAAAATTAGCTTTTTTTTCAGCTCTATACTATGTGAGTTTGCTTAATAAATTGTATAAATCAAGTAATTAAGTTAAAGGTAAAAAAGTCTTCCTTATCACAGAGGGAGGGGGAAAGGAAGCGTGGGGAGAACTTGGGGCAGGTGCGGACCCGATAGGCGTAATTACTTTAACATTTTTAAAACAAGCCTATAGGCCAGATGGTACCTTTCTCGATCTTATAACATTTATCTTTCCAATTGTTAATGGACGGTAACGGTATAAAGAAACATTTTATTTTTATTATTTATTAATAGCCTTAGCAGTAATTGTTTAGGATTTATGGATAAAAATTAAAAAATAGGTTCTTCAACCAGATATCTCTAAATATTAGTATCAACGGGTTTCCATTGCCGATGCATTTATAAAAAAAAATAGTGTTATCCTTTTCCTTCTCTTTAAGAAAACAGAGATGGTTAGAATGTTAAGTCAAGAACCTAATTAAGAAAGTTTATTAAAAATAAAATTTATACTCGTGTACATTGTAATCCGTTAAGTCAAGGGTTTTCACATTGTTAAGTTTACGCTTACGTTTTTATATTGGACATAAATTTTAGGATCATATTGACAACATTGTGTTGATAACCTCTATATTTTTACTACTTCCGCATTATAAAAGTAATAAAATATAAATATAGTTTATTTGCATAACAGCCACTGTGGTACTAAATAAAATTGATTTATTATACCTCTGCAGATACACTATTAAAATTAATATCAAATCAAATAATACTTTTAGCGTGTCTGAAAGTAAACGATAAAACATTTACTCTGGAGCTTACAACGGACATTGCAAAAAGGAAACTTTGGCACGCTCAGTTTGGGCAGTAACTGAGTTGGTTAGTGATGCTGCGCGGCTACCGCTACAGTGGCGCCCCATCCATCTTGTCGCTACTGCAAACTTTGCAGACGTATCCCCCGACACTGCCCCCCAATTTGGCGTAGCTCGATTTTAACAACTTTATACTTTTATATTTATCATGTTTGACTTCATGAACGGTTCATTTAATCGAATCAATTTAATTGCTTTTTCCGCATACCGCCTTTTCTAAACTTTTATTTATTCATATAGAAATATATTTATTTAGATTATATAATAATAAGACATTTAATCCTTTCAAAGACATTACAACACTTGAAATACAATTAAAACATAAAAAATGAAACATATTATAATTAAGCGTTGCAATGCAGAACAGTTAGGGTCTTTGCTCAGCTGTATGTTTATTGCCTCGGGGGGCCAAAACACTGATATTTTGCAAAAGCCTGTAAGTCATCAGTACAACACTAACAGCAATTGATAAAAGAAATAAAGTTCTATACCACACCACTATATCGAGGTTTCAATATCGGCGTCCTTGTAAATTTTGTAAATTTCAGTTTCGCAACTACTATGTTTTCCTCGTAAGGCTAGTTAGACAACTTACAATCACACTGTGATAACTTTAGCCACATGCCCGGTGTAAAATTAGAACTTCCAACTTGTATATTCCTGAACTCGGTTAACTCATTAACTCCATGCAACTACTAACAACCAACCAACGTTGTCGTGTCCATCGGATTGCTTTCCAACCCCCTTTGCCGTCAAAGCGGACCATCAGTATTGTATTTTCTCACCGCTTTAGTCTTAACTATTTCAACAAACTTTAAATTGTCAAATGAAACTTTACCCAACTTTATTCATTCCCGTTTAACCTTTCCTGTTACTCTAAGTTGTTTCGGTTTCGCTTACAAGAAGACATTATCGGAATAACTTTAATTACATAAAGAAGAAACAATTAAATTATTCAAACTTTCGTTTTTTTTTATATCATAAGGTGGCAAACGAGCGAGCGGCCACCCGAAATCGCTGAAATAGCGAAGTGACCGTTGCCCATAGACTTACGCATTTGCATAAGCGTTGCCTACCTTTAATCGACGGAGGAGAGGATGCACAGAAAAAAATACTTTCCCTTACCATGCATCCTCTCATCCGGAAAGTCCACTTCCACTTTCCATACTTTCCTTATAAGAAAAAGGGCGGGAAGGGAAAGAGGACCAAATAAGGCCACCGGGACGCACTCGTGAGACATTATACTAAACCGGTGCCGCCACCGGACGAATATACGTGAGTGTTTAGCCGTGTTTATATATCAGTTTAGAAGAAACAATTGTATATTATTAAACTTTGCTATAAAATCATACCCATTAATATTGTGGAAAGCTTGTCTAGCGTATTGTTGGTAAATACTTCATTTCATTAATTAAAAGATTCAGTCCCTTTCCCCTCTCATTAAGCGACACAATTTCTTTTTTGACGTCGTGAAGTGAGATTTTTTTTTATTAGAACATATAAACATTAGCTTTATTAGGCAAAAAAATTATAACGGTTATGCAAAATAGAGAAATATGAAAGTATTGTTTTTATCGTCTTGCGAAAGAGAGGCTTTATGCGTATCTGAGGGGAAACGAATGTTTGAATCTCCAGTGATCCGTCACGCATTCACCGCCGCAATTCTTATGAAACATGTTATTACGGATAGGACAGACTAAATCCACCGAAAACTTTATACGTAATATGTTAGAAGGTATTTTAACATATGTTAAAATGGGATAGAGATCGAAATTTATGCAGCATCTTTGATACGATATTCTCCAAGCATTGTCGGCTAGCTATCGTGAAATTGTATTATTTACGAGGGCGTACTCTTGCTATAAATCAGTATCACGCTTTTATGCGGTAAGGAAATAGCTCGTAACTTTGATTGGGCGATCTGGCCTCGAGTACAGCACTTGAGAGTTTGTGGGTCATTGCGGTGCCTTTGAATGGACGACCACAAATATGACAATCGTAAATAATAAACTCATTGTGTACGCAAACTATAAAAATATGAAATATTTCACAGATTTCTACAATAGACCATTGTAAATCTTATCTTATTTTTTACTAATATTATAAATGCGAATGTTAGGATGGATGGATGTTTGTTAGAATGTATCTCCAGAACGGCTGCAAGTATCTCGCTAAAATTTGGCGTTGATGTAGAACATAGTCTGGAAGAACTCATAGGATACTAATTAGGTAATACTACTATATAATAATAATACTATATAAATACTAAGAGTCGCGGGCGGCAGCTAGTGCATTTATAGAGAGTAAAATATATTAAAGAGTTTTAGGTTTTTTCATTCATTCATTCCATATATTCTATCGATATAGTTTTATTTTTACTATTATTGAGGGTTTTAAACAATTTGACTAACCTACTACCAAGGTCAGTGGTTAAAATTGTGCGATTAAAATGAAAGCAATTTAATGAAACTCCCAATAATATTGTCGTATTATTATGAATAATGTATTCTGAGAATCAAATATCTAAATACCATTAGCTTTTGAATTCAGATATCGAGTCAATGTATCTTGGGAATAGCAATTCTCTTCATAAGGGATTACGTAAATGCCAGCCTACAGTAAACGTCCCGAACATCATTTGAATAAAGCTACAGAAATTCTTTTTCTCGCAATTATATATATCTTAAAAGAATTACACATACATATATGTCATTTAATTCTTAACGAAAGGACATTGGTTAAATTATTTTATTTTACAACTAACTGTCGCCCGTGACTCCGTCCGCGCGGTATTAATAAAAACTTAACTACATCTTCTTCTACATCTATGTCAAATTTCAGCGTAATCCATACAGCCGTTCTTGAGATACCTGCAAAGAAACAATCATCCATCCATCCATCTAAACATTCGCAGTTATATTAGTAAGATAAATTATTTAGATGAATTTAATGTCTGGATCCAGAAACAGTACCTTCGGTGCGAGCCATACTTATACTGCACAATTTTGTTTCTACT